CTGCAAATCTATACTTCCGTTGTTAATCATTGGCATCACTTAATGGCCCCTTCCGCCCTTCCGCCCTTCCGTCCATCCGTTCTCTGCGTTCTCTCACAGAGAAATGCAATCAGCCAGACAAGCGCATAGTCGACGGAGGAACAGTCAAGTGGTTTTCCTTCTTCTCTCTTTTTTTTTCCGGCCCGAACAGCGAACACGCCCTTCAATTACAAAAATCTATGCAGGACTCTGGCCTGCGGACGCTCTCCACGCTCTCCTGCCTGCGCAGATAATCTGCTAAAGGACTTCCGCCTGGTGCGTGTGCTGCCTTCGCTGCCGAAAAGGAAAGAAGCGAGCAAATATATACAGAGCAAGGGCAGGCTGGGGGAAAGGGGTCAGGGGGAACAGGACTGCTACTGAAATCGCAATGATATATGGCCGTGAAATCGAATCGCAGCAAAGGGCTTTAAGTGCCCCCCAAACTCCCAGCTGCCAGATCCAAAATTTCAAATTTCAGATTTAGTTTCTGCATCTTTTGCACTGCGCAAAAAGTGCATTCCCATCCAAAGGTGTCCTGGGCATTGTTCTCACAGCAAGAATCATTTTTTTTTTGCAGTGTTTTCAATGGAAAAATCAACAGACTATGGCCGGGACTTGGAGACGGGACTTACTGTGCGGCGCGTCTTTTGTGCATGGAATTCTTGGCGCGCTCTCCCCCAGCAGCGAATTTATTGCCCCATTGTGCCGTGTAGCGTGTCCGAAGGACAACGGCAACGACTCAGCGGGTTGCATGTTCTGGCTGCTCCTTCGGGTTTGAGTTCTGGCTCTGGCTCTGGCTCTGGCTCTGGTTTGGTCCTTCTTGCCCGCTTAGGCGTTGGCATTGCGTTTTCGGCGGCCGTGTTGAAATTGACAGCAAAATAATTGGTTGATTATTTATGAGCAGCAACTTGGCAGACAGACAGAGAGGGGAAAAAATCGTTTGTTTAGGCCTCAACAGAAACAGCAACAGCAACAGCAACAGAGTGGCAGCCAAACAGCTAGAGGATAGAGAGAGTTTCCTCTTGTGTTTAGGAATAGTTTTTCCATTGGGGGTCTGGTCAGGTGTCCAGCCATCCATTAGGACTGTCCTTTGATGTTCCACAGAGAGAGAGATGCAGAGGGGAACAAGCGGACAGTCGACTGATTGTTATCCAAATAGTTATTTAAGAAATTCAAATTGTGGTAATTAAAAATGTCCAAAAGGGGCCCACACACACACACACACACACACACACACACACATGCGGGCACTTGACATATGGGAGTCATGGAGGGCCAGAAAATCAGGCCCAGAATCAGAAACAGAAGCAGCAGGATAACCAGGATGGAGAACCGAGAACCGAGAACCGAGTACCCGGTTGACGGTGGACAAGAGTAAGAGCTTTGGCTCGGCCTGCGGCTGGCTGTTATTATTTTTGTCACTGACAAAGCAAATCACCAAAAACCAACAAAAGGTCTGCACCCACCCCTCTCTGTCCCTCTCACAGGCGTAACAAACGACGCCGCAGAAAAAGCCCTAGGACTGGGACTAGGACTAGGACTAGGCCTAGTCCCCGCCTCAGACCCACTCCACGGCACTCCACTCCACTCCACTCCACTCTCCACGGGTGCTGCTCCTGCCAACTGCGGGGCAATTTTCATGTTGAATTATGAGGATATTTGTTTCGTCATGAAAGATTGGCCCCGCCACCGGTAAGGGTAGGGGCACGGGCCTACCCAGGGCCATTCTCTTATAATCCTTACGCACTCCGATCCGTGTCCGGGTGCAAGCCAACGGGGGCAACTGTACATTTCTTTTTCAAGCTTTCATCTTCTTCTGCTGGCGGCGGGGACATGGAGTTTTCAATTTGCATTGCAACCAAGAACCCCAGGAGCCAGGAGCCAGGAGCCAGGAGTCAGGAGTCAGGACCCACAGCACGGCACAGCACAGGACAGGACAGGACCAGCACAGCACAGCTTCAGAGCCGTAGAGAACGGAACAGAATCGTCAACTTTGCCTTCGTCGTGAGCTTACCAAATGCACTGCAAGTGAAATGCACTCCACTGACTTTTGGGGTCGGCTGGGTACGTGAACCATGACCGAGAACGTGGTGGTGTGGAGAGCGGGCAATGGAGCGGGAGTGGGAATCAGGGTGTAACACACATGTAACACATGAGTCTTAGCCCAGCCCGGGCAGCCCTGGACGATTGCATCTACAATTCATAGAAATTTCAAACGATGCGTAAACGAAAACGGAAAATGCAGCAGCAGAAGCAGCAGCAGCAACGTCTGAGGAGGATGACTACGACTACGACTAGGACTAGGACGACCAGGAGCAGGAGCAGGACTACTGGGACATTCAGCAGCAGCAGCAGCCCGTAGAAAGTAAACGAATTGTGGGTATGACCAAAAATTGCGTTTACTGTTGCGTTTCTGAAATGCATGGGAATGGGTAAGGGACAGTGGGACAGTGGGACAGCGGTGGAATGGAGGAGCAGGCGAGTGTGAGCCAAATCCGACTTTGGTTGATGATGAGTGTCGTTATCGTTTTTGTGGAGTTTTGTTTTGTTAGACCCTCTACGAGCAGCAGCATACAAGAACCACAATCCCTGCCACCCAGCACCCTTCTAGGATATTCTAACTGCAAGTTGAATTTGCATTTCGATATGTGGCACTGCCCCGAAATCTGACTCCGACTCAGACTCCGAGTTCGAGTGCGAATGCGAGTCCGGGGCCCAGCCCACAAAACAATCAAGAAAAGCAATTGGTGCACTCCAGATGGAAGTGGAAGTGGAAGTGGATGTGTGTGTGTGTGTGTGTGAGATCCTTCTAGGACTTGGAGCTGCGTGTGGGCCGGAAAGCATCGTCATGGCCACAGAGACAGACGACGACGACTCGAAATCAGAATCGGACTCGGACTCGGACTCCAGCTCCAGCTACGACTCCGACGCAGTCGGACGATGATGTAGCTGCACGGATTGATTTACGTTCGAAAAGATTTCTCAACTGTGCAGCAGCCTCTGCACACACACACACACACACACGCACACTTCCCCATCGACCCGAGAGGGTCAACTGTACATTTTTCTATATGTTTTTGTTTGCGTTTCTGTTTGCTGTTTCATTTTGAGTTTTGAGTTTTGTGTTTCTGTTTCTGTTTCGTAGTTTCGTAGTTTCGTAGCCCAACGACGACTGAGATTTATCAAAAGGTAATTTATATATGTGGGTGTGTAATTTATATATGCACCACCACCCCTTTCCCCCCTTTGGTACTCACACAGAACCCTGTGCCTTGTTTGCCCTGCTGTCTGTTTGGCTTTAGTTCTGTCCTACCCGTTCCCCGAGTGCATTTTGCATTTCATGTACGCAACATTTTTAAGAGTATTTCGTTGAGAATAAATCGCCTGCCCAAGCATGACATATGACCGAAAAGCTTCGAGATGGAGTCTCGAGAGCGAGAGCATGGGCCAGAGTAAATAGTTTGGGATGCAATCCAGAAAGATTCCTCTTTTGCCTGATGGTTTGAGTGAGTGTAAAAAGTAAAAGATACAAAGCAGGGAGTAAGTCCTGCTGCTGGTTGTAATCCCACCCCGGAAAACCTTAATCTGAGTGCCAGGCAAAAGCAAATGCATAAATTCAATTTACCGAAAGAGCACCAGAAAGTACGAACCAAACAAAGCAAAACAAAAAAAGCACAGAAGAGAGTTGCATAATTTAAGGCCGACCATCCATGGCAGGACCACATTCCCATCCACACATGAAGATGGGTTACGTTACGGATCCATGGCATCCTGCCATCAATGGGTGCGCCCTGGAGTTGTGGATGTAAAAAATTGCAAATCGAATCGCGAGGCAAGCGAGCAACAAACATCCATTGGTTTGCCATCGAGGATGGGAGGGACATACCGAAACGTCAAGAGCACTCCGCCGACAGTTACACGCCTAAGCCCCTGAACCCCTGAACCCCTGAACCACTGAGCCCCGCACCCGCAATCGGATGTACGAGGAGTACGACCACGCTGCCTGCCAATGGCCATGTGAATGGCATAAACATTGTTGACATTTGCCAAACCTACTTTAATCACTTTTTAACCCCATTTGATACAGTGTCAACGTGCATGGGGGGGCACGCTGCCATAAAATGGACAGTCCGCACTCGACTTGCGTCTGCCCCCCTCCCAGTCCCCGCCAGCTACTGCTGTCCACATTGAATGCAGGCTGGAAAAAAGCACACAAAACCACACTGACACAAAATCCCAATGACAAACGCAGAAAGAAAGCAAAAACCAACAAAAGCAAACACAACCAAGCGAAAAAAGAGAGCACACGAAAGGAAACAAAAAAAGATCCATGGACATTACGTAAAATGGGAGTACAAATATGGGAGGGAGGGGAAATGATAGCCATGGACATGGACGCGGACATGGATGCGAATGCGAATGTGTGGCCCTGCCATGACCCGTTGGCCCAGCTGCCAAAGCAATTGATTTACTGCACTTTGTTTGCCAAAAATTAATTGAGTTGATGACAAGTGCAATTGATTTATGCGGGACTCAAATGAGTGTGGACAGAACAGACGACGCCTGGATGGATATCAGGGACATCGGATGGACATCCTACTGGCACCGTGTTTCGGGGGGGGTTTGAGTTTGAGTTTGGGCTGTGTGCTGTGTGCTGGGGGGGTAAATGGGTTGACTGTCGCCATTTGGCATCGGTTACAACATGCGGGCACAAGATCTACTCATGGATTAACACTATTTCCCTGCAGTGGAACTTCCGATGACCCAACACGACACCCAAACCCAAACCCAAGTGCAGAGGCATTCACACTACGGCAGGTGTCAAAGCTGCCGGGAGTCGACTCCCAAAGACCCTGCCCCCCCCCGAAAGGGCAGACTCCTGCAAAAAAGAATCAACATAAAAATATGGAAAGACTCTCCAGCGTAGCAGGACTCAGCCCCCCAATTGATACAGGCCAAAAAGTATTACCAAAGTGTATTACCAAAGAAACAATGCCCGTGGAAGGGTTTGGCGCTGGTCCGGGTCCGTGTTGTGTCACGGAAGCGTGCCGCGCACACATGTCGTCCGGCCGGAGCCCAGGTTTTAGGCCAAAAAAGCAACACGGCGGCGGGAAATGCGGGGAAAAACTCAGAGGCAGAGGTGGCACAGGGACAGACGCAACGGAAATAAGCGCCAAGCGGATGCCAACAAACGAAGCAAATGATTCATTTCCGATGATGCGACAGCGTCCTGCGTTTTCCCCCATTGCCAGCCTGCCAGCCCATCGCCGTGTGTCTCCTCTGGTGTGTCGTCTGGCCACCAAAAATTTGCATGAAATGTGAAATCAAACGGCTAGCGGCTGGCTACAACAAATGGAACACAGAGAGTGCACAGTGGAGCAGAAGGGGGAGGAGCAGTAGCAGCCATCGTCGGCAGGCGTCGCTGGTGTCACGTTCTCATTCACGTGCAGGTTGATGGACGCCCGTTGCCATATTTTATGACTGCCGCCGGATCGCCCTCTGCCGCGGGCTCTTCTCTTCTCTTCTCTTTGTGTGTGTGTATGTGTGTTATTGATATCCTAACGGTAAATGCTGTAGGTGGGCAGGGAACATGGGGGAGTGGCCACCTCTGGATTTGACGGCTGTGCGGAAGTGGTTAAAGCGGCCTCGCCCCCAACACAGCAGCTGATGGGGCTGGAGCATGGTGGGACGACATCTGTCGCGGGCGACGTGTGAAATTTGTAGCCAAAAAATGTTTGCACTCCTTCCCGTTGGGCCATTTATAATGCCACCGATGGTTCTTGGTCCATGAACATTCAGCACAGCGACAACAACGACGGCGACGAGGTGGACATATTGGAAATCAAAATGTTGACATGCAGCAGGGACAACATTTTTCAATTAAACCGATGACAACACACGACCCCAGTGGCAGTGGGTGCTGAGGCAGCAGATGCAGATGCGGCCAAGAGTGGGGAATGGCGATAACAGGAGAGCGTGAGAGGGGACCTAAGGGCGGGAGTTGTTAACATGGTTAATAGATATCCATACAATCCGTCTGTTTTCATAGCTATTTCCATAACATGAGCATAACAGAGTCGCTGTAGTCTCTTCTGCGTGTGCAGCAGGCTAACAGAACGCTAACAGAGTGCTGGCAGACTGCTAACAGAACGCTAACAGAGTGCACGTAGACTGCTAACAGAGTGCAGGCAGAGAGAGGAGAAGCGACCATCAAGACTAACAAAGAGAGCGGATCAACGCCAAGTTCTCTCTCAAGCCACACGAATTTTGTACAGCGGCATGCTCGCATATGCGCGACACCCTCCGTTGACTCAGTGCAATAGATGAACCGTTGCAACGGTAAGTATTTTGCGTGTTGGTTGTTCTCGGGAGTAAATGCATAACTGCACAAAACACTCGTGGGCACAATAATAGGTGAGGTAGGAAACCACAAATCAAAGCTTTTTCCCTGAGGCGGTTAATCGGTGTGCCTGTACCCTACAACTTCCAATCAAACACTCTTTGCACTTTACAACACTCATGTTGAAATTTAGTTGCTTATTTTGTTTTAGATGTGTAAAAAATAAAACCAAACCCATTGGGCGACTGCTGTTGTTGATCGGTGGGTGAACTTCTCCGCTTGGAACTTCTCCGTTGGACAACCCTTACAGGCAATTGTCACAGTGTCTCCGTGTGGAGCTGTGGAATCTGTGGAACATTTGCCAGTGATTGCTGTCTCTGTGGATGGTGCGGTGTCGATAGTTGGGGGGGTTTTTGTCATTGAATTGGAACTAGTTGACCACCGCCAGGACGACGGTGATGTCATCCATATTCAGCTGGCGGTTGGAACCCTTTCCATAGGTGCTGCAGGTGGCGGAGCGTGCGATCAGGGCCAGAGTCTCCGCATACAGACGCATGCGACAGGGCTCTGTGCGTCCGTCCAGCTCCGAGATCAGCGACAGAACTCGCTCATCGTGCACATTGTCGAAGAAGCCGTCGGTGGCCAGGAGCAGCATGTCCCCGGCCTCTGCGCGGAATTGCTGAATAGATGCCTGAGCAATGTCGTCATAGAGAATGGCGGCGAAGCCACCCTGGATCGAGGCAATCGAGTTCCGTGACTGTTTGGTGGAGCGTGCAATAATTATTCCGCTTCGCACCACCAGGAAGCCGCAGCTGCCGATGTTTGTTGCGGAGACGATGCCCGTGCGTCGGTCCAGACTCAGGAGGCAAGTGTGGCAGCTGGCCAAGACGGGGTGGCGCTCCTCCTGCACCTCGCGATGGGCCCGATGCAGCAGCAGGTCCAGGCGACGCGGCTCGTGGCAGGGGTTCAGCGCCAGACGCTCGCAGGAGCGCATCAGAGAGTCGCTAAACTCTCCAGGCGAGAGCTTGCAGATACGCCCGCCACCGACACCGTCGGCCACGCCCAGTGTGTCGCCGCGATTGGTGCTGGCCGCGAACCAGGCATCCTCGCCGCACTGCCCCATTTGGTACTCCGCGCGCTTGCTCGGAATGCCGCAGGTCACGCTCAGCAGTCGCAGCTCCTCCGGCCCGTACAGCTTCCAGCCGTGAATGTCCTTTGGCTGTGGCCATGTCTCTGCATCAGCCACTTGCTTTTCGTACTCCTCGAGCAGCGTTCGCAGCCAGCGGTGGCCCTCGAACAGCGGCTTGAGCAGGCGGACGCCGACACCACCACCACCACCACCGATGAGGCTCATGCATTGACAACCGCCGAAGGTGGCTCTGCGAACCAGTAGTAAGCCACCGGTGGAGAGCACATGAACCAGCTGGGATGTGCTCTGGCCAAGTCTGGCAATCATGCGACCACCATTTGTCGTCGCTCTCCGGTACACCTGCGTGCCGTGCGCTATGGCCTGCTCCAGCAGATATCCACCATCGGCTGTGATGCGGGCGACGAGCTCGTCACCCCAGATGCCGGTCTGCTGCAACAGCCGACTGGCTCTGGCTGAAAGCTGAGCTAAGCTCAACCGTGCGCGGTACACAACGCGGGCACATCTTTTGATCACGACTTGGAGCACTTTGCCCGTGCGAGAGATGAGGATCTGGACGAGCAGCCCGCTGCCTCGCAGCACGATCTTGATTATGTGACGGCCACCGCTGGCCGCTGTCTGCAGATGTGTCTCCACTCTCTGGATGCCTGCATGCAGGCGCACAAGTCTGTCCATATTCTGTGGGCCAAAACGAAGCTGCAACCAAGAGGAAAGCATAAGGATAAATTTACGTACCATTTCAGTCCAATCTTGTGGGCAGTTTATGGTTGTGTGATTTTGTGGTTTTTCTCTTGCAGTCCGAGATAAGAAAATAATACTAAACAAAGTCTCTGAATTTTTGTACTAAACGCTTAAACGAAATACTCAATGTGAGGCTGTTTTTTTGTGTTGGGAGGAAAGGCCTGCTAAGTTGAATAAAAATGAGATGGCAGCTCCTGGTCTAAGAATGCCTGGAAATGCGCTGGAAAATGTGTCTCTCCCTGTGTCTATATTTCCATAATCATTTAGCTGGCGCCACACCATCGCCCACAGTCCCCCCATTGCACTTGCACATGCTGCAGCTTCGTCGCCTGGTTCTGGCCCTGGGGCTCAACTCAATTATGCACAATTACGGACACAAACAGATACCAAGTGGCAGGAGTGGCAGGAGGTGTGCAGGAGTGAGAGGAATGAGGTAAGTATGCAGATGATATCTGCACCTCTGCCCCATGCCGGATGCTTTTTTTTTTTGGCTGCTGGGCTTATCCTTTGTGCAGTTGCAGTTGCAGCTGGAGCTGGAGCTGCAGATGTGGCACTCGAATTGCATGCATAGCTCATTGCGTTGCCACACTCGACGTGGATGAAGTGCTGTGGCATGTGGGCATGGGTGCTGCAACGGCTGCTGCAACTGCTGCAGCGACTGCTGTCAAAATGGCATTGAATTGCTTAAATACTTTCATCGTCGCCATCGTCATCGTCATCGTCATCGCTTAATGGCTTGCCTCTTTTTTGGTTGCCATGAAAACCCCCAAAAAGCATAAACCAAAAACCAAAAACGATGCTCAAACATATGTGAATGGCAGCCAGATATGAATAAGGGGCACTGCTTGAACGAATGAATGAATGAATGAATGAGTGAGTGAGTGAGTGAGTGAGTGAATGAGCGATATGAAGTGCAATCAATGCAAAAATGTTTTCAAGTATCCAACCAGCCAGAGGCAGAGGCAGAGCCAAAGCATTCAGGACAGCCACAAAAGCTAGACAATTCCTGCACCAGATGCACTGGCTTATGGGTCCTGGGGCTGGGTAATGGATGTGGCATGGGTACGAGGACCTATTAGATGATATTCCCAGCTCCAACTGGCAGGGTGTGTGTTGGTGTGAAAGGATTATTCACACACTATTGATTTCAAATTGAGTTGACTTCAAATCCGTTTGAATTGACAGCAGCAGCAGGAGCAGCAGGAGCAGCAGCACATGGCAACATCGTTGCCTCTTGGTCTCCTGCCTCTCCTGCCATCGCATGTGTATGTGCTGCCGGAAGTTGACTAATGAATTTAATTTGCAGTGGGTGTTGGAGCAAATAGAGCGACAAGCGGATGGCTGGCTGCTATCTGGGGGGCACACTAGACATCAGCGAGGCAGTCAGCCAGGCAACTGACTGATTGACTGACTGCCTGCCACGATGCCTCGATGCCTCGATGCCGGGCTCTCTATTTGTCTATCTATCTGTTTGGCTCGATGCCTGATGCCTGACTGATGTCTCTGTGGCTGTGCGCCTGTAAGTATGCAACGGCCACACACACACACACACACACAATTGATTGACATTGGCAGTTGTTGCCACAGAATGGCACATGCAGGGTGCAGAATGCAGGCTGGTATGCATTAAATGCATCTGCAATTGATTCCATGCCGAAAGGAAGCCAGCAGCAGACATTGCCCAAAGTCCACCCACTCTTTGCGGCCAGCAAGGACACAATGGACACCGCTTAGTGTGTCCTTTTGGGGCAGCCACAATTGTT